ATCATTGAGTACCTTTAAAAAACAATTAAAATGTTTACTTATTTCTACGTAATTTATATCAGTTATCCAACTAAATCACTTAGAATTGCAGACTAGCAAATATTTTTATGTAGACGTATTACTCAAAATCACAACTGTAACTTTTATACTAATCTCATCTAGAGTTACATGCATTACTACACATTACATATCAAACTTCAATTTACAATAATCCCGGGTGCACGAGTATCTTACCTAACGCTTGTGAGCTGTCTTTCTTGCACCCTCCACCTATCTTCTTAATCAGCTGCATATGTTGCTTGAAATACTGCGTGGATCAGCTCAATTTGACATATCTTCTTAATCTTATTTTTGTAAAACTTTGTCCTTCGTGTGTGCGGGGGAAAAACCTTTGAAACCTACGAATTCGCCACGAATCGGCGAAACATGTCTGTAATGAACTAAACCTAATTACATCTGGTACGTGAGTAGAATAAGTTAATTATAGGTACAAATATTATTAATCATGTCCACATCTAACTCCAACTATTGCTAACAATAAGATCTTATGCGATTTATCGAGTTTTATCGATACACTGAAATACGCATAATGAATAAGAAAATGCCCATTTCCTTTCCAACATAACGGTCCTTATTGCGCTGGAAAAAAGGCATACCAAATCCGTCCTAAAAGGTCTAAGCCTCCATATATTATCGATACCCTTATAAAGCCTCTGGGCTAATTGGAATTTAGCGTTAGTAGTCTTGCAGCGTAAGTAAAACCGGACAGAAACTCTTGCATCAAAGAAACTAATAAACTCATCTCATCTGATGCCTAATCCAGAGATAAATCGCGATCCCAGATATGAGAGGCGAGTGTGCTCCCAGTACCACAACCTTGATTCTCCATGTAAAGCACAATTTATTAAAAAATAATAACAAAAGTCATATAAAATAAACAAATCTGAAATAAATGAAMTTGAACTACTTTTTAGCAGGCCAATTATAATGTAATACAAAGTTTAAGACCATTTCGCAGATTAGTTGACATTTYGCCATGCCCATATAACACGACTCATATGTAACATAACTGGATTGATGATACGGACGAGTAGAGGGTAGTATATCACTATCCAAAACCTAATGTTTACGGTCACAAATTAATTGCAATAGCTGGGTCWGCAAACGCAGGGGGAAGGGGAGGGGGAGAACCTACTCTCCAGTTTGAAGCTGCCATTTCAAATTTTTCAAGGGGTGGGTAGGAGAGTTCCCCGGACAGCCAACTTCCTCTGCCAACTTCCCCRACTATTCTTAGGTAGCAGAAATGAGTTTTTCTTGACGTGATTAAAAAAAACAATGAAATCTACAAAATCGGTTAATGTTATTTGGTTAAATAGATCAATGATATGACAAACAATAATAGTCAATATAAATTTTTTAATCAAAAACGTACAGTGTGTTATCAAGACTTTATCCACTGAGGAATATCTTATTAAACTACATGTATTTTGATACCGACTTTTTGTCAATCAACGATTCCCAGGCATTCGTGTTTGATAAAAGTTATTTTACCGGTCGCTTACCGAGGTTCGATATCTTCAAAATATAAATGATACAAAATGGATTCAAACGACTCCGTCAAGGTGATGAGATGTCATTTTTCTTTACTGAAGAAGCAAGAAGACGAGAAGCTTCATCTTTAAGACATAGCTGCACAAAATTAGGACTAGGTTAACTGCTTAAGAAATGCTGATACAGGTTGTGTTTCACAACCAATTGCTCTTACTCAGATAATAGTATTTATGCATTTGTGATACATTTTGATACTTTTTTTAATCCTTGGCTCTACGTTTTTAGTCTTTGAGGGAAAGAGAASATTTATTAAAGTGGATTATCCAGTTTTCGGTTGCCAAAGAAGTCCCGTTGTTGATTGTTCTTCGAGGGGTTTCCTACAAGTTCCCAATTTTTCCGCCAGTTTTTTCACCCTGACCAGCATTTAAATTTGGCTGTCTGCATATTTTTTCTTTTTGAACCAAATCTATATAAATTTAAAATGGTCCTTTTCGTTATAAGAATTATTAACAAGCAATTTACAACATCAAAATTAAAAAGTTTTTTAATAAAGGAAACCTCATTTTACAAATACGTATTTCCTTGTTATTGTTCTAGTTCCTTTGCATAGCGTGTATATTTCTCTCGTATAAAACAGTACGAAGTAAAAGTGGGACAAAATTGGTCGTCCATATCACTGGGATAATAGACAGGAAAATCTCCTCTATATTTTAAACCTTTTTTCGCCATTTTAGAGCATTACCAATTTATAATTTACGGACTTGGATGTAATATTTTATGCAAATAATTGTTAGTTTAAGATAATTAAAAGTTTTCGCCGATTAAGCGRAAAATATGCCGCCCAAAACCAAACTAAAATGAGGATTTTGGCGCCAAGYCACTTGAAATGTTATAGACAATTGAAGACATACTGCCAGTCAAAAAAGAAATTCAGGATTGAAATTTTATAAAATAAGTAATAAGAATTTATGAAGAAGCCAAAAAATAAAATATTTTTTAAAGAGAAAATTATAGGAATCTAGAGCCATCCACACTATTTCGTATTCTAAAATTTTTCTTTTGTTTGGCATTTTTTGTAAACGAAATATTAAACATCAGTTCCGTTTTAGTATCATATCATCAACCTGTCATTTCGATTACCAAAAAATAATGATTTTTTAATACAGTTTTACTAATTRTATTTTGTATTTCCGTTAAGATTAGAAATAGTTGAAAATTTAAAAGGTAATAAACTAGCAAAAAATAATCGGTAACTMAAATGCACAGTTTCAATCAATAACTCAAAGGAGTAAATTCAGTTTGAATATGGAAAAACTTTTCGTTTATCAACATTTCCTTGCCTCAAAATTAATTATCGACAAAGCTGAAACGACAGTGAAAAGGAAAACATTTGATTTGAATCCGTTCGTAAACAAGCCTTTTCTATGTTTCGATATTAATCACGGAACTTAAATGAGAGAGCTACTCTYAGAACATAAGCAAGAAAATATAAAGCTTTCGGACATATGTGCATACGAATTGCTCATGTTATCGTTGAATTAACCTTCCCAAAGCAGCTTCGTGAATATTGTAAGGGTGATAATTGTTTCTTTCGATACATTGTTTATGTTTAGAATTAGATTTCCTTCTTCTGGTGTCATAATTTTGGCTAATCATAAACCGAAACATTTGTGCTGCAACGTCCCTTTCAAAAACGTATATAAGCAGACACAGAMGAATCGCACCCATCATACTGAACAGTGTCCTAACACCAGTTGTAGCTCGTAAGCCCATTTGATCTCTTTCRTAGTGCATGGTAGTAAAAGAGATTTACTGAATCATCCAAAAAACAGCAGCTGACCATTATGGAATGGTTATCGGTATATTTGTTGGTGGCCTGTTTAGCCCATGCATTTGTGCCTCTTGGTAAGTTATCATCTTAAAAATATTGAACATTCACTTGCTTAAACTCCRCATTCTTCCATCCACGCAATGGATTCCACTTTATCAAGATTCAATACAAACCTTTTTTATAAACATCAGAGACCTTTGTGAAAGATAATATAAGGGCTATATTTCTCTTAACGCTGTTACATGACCGAGCTAGTTAGCCTATATTAAAACAGCTTGGCAATATTTTTAAGCAAATTTATATGCAATATTTAAAAATAAATATCTACCAATTGAATACCAGTAGGCATGTGTCATTTTCATAATACCAAAATGACTCTAGTAAAGTATGACCCACGATGTAAAGCAACTAGCATTCTTTGTATTCTTCTAAATTTAAATAACAAATTTTTAACTTTCTTAAATCACTAGCTTTATTTAAAGGACAGTAATACTGAAGACATTTCTTGACACATCAGCTAAATATTACGGATTTTTTATTAACGTAAATTGTTGATTTATGAACTAAACAAATACAAAATCGAATACTAAAGGAGAGATATCCAAAAATAGTTTTTGAGTTTTCAAACTTTTAGATAAGTTATCCAAGTCTTTGGGAATGGCAAAACAGGMTAACCCAAGATAAGAGTTATCGTGTGTAACAACAACAGCCAAATATTTTTATTTTCTTTTGCATTCCTACTTGTATRGACAATATCACAAAATATATAATTTATAAGTTTTTTAAAAATATTCATACTGAAGAGGCATTCCYAACTTATGGTCATTTAATAGTTTGTTTAAATATTAGTACAACAACTAGTTCAACAGCAGACGCTCCAAAAACGTTTGAAGTGGCATGAATCGAGAACTTATTTTAATAAACAGTTAGGCGAGATCTCGATTATCGAAACTGCAAAAGAAAAGCCCAATAYTGAGACTAGAAACTAAAACGAATTAGATATTTACTTTGTACATAACTATATTTCGCAAAATTTTCAAAAACATATTTTGCGACTATAAAAAAAGAGATTATTGCGACATGAAAATAATTTCATGGTAAATTTTATTACTTTTTAGACGCCGTAAACTCTATTCAACTTCAGCCTGACACCGTTGGTACTTACACCGCCGGTATCGTGCAGGTCTTTTACAACGGTCAATGGGGAACAGTGTGTTATGATTACTGGGATATGAAGGATGCCAAAGTTGCATGTAGTCAACTTGGTTTTACCAAGACCTTAGGACCTTGGTACCACGGACGAGGAACGGGTAAAGTATGGCTGACCAACATGAGATGTACAGGCTCAGAGGCCTTCCTTGGAAGCTGTACTCACAGCGGATGGGGACAGGTTTCCTCTTACTGCAATAGTCACAAATATGATGCTGGTGTCGTTTGCGATGGAAAAACAGGTAATACTGAGCTTTGTTGTAATTTTTTAATCTACCTATTAATTATATATATATTTATTTATTTATTTAAAGAAAATTATTTTTTACCATAGTAACCAGCATAAAAATATAATACTTACAGGTGCAGGAGATCCGAACATACGTCTTATACCTGACACTCGACTTCCAAGTAACACRGGACTTCAAGGAATTGGAGGAATCGTCAGAGTTTTTTATAGTAACCAATGGGGAACAGTGTGTCATGRTGGCTGGTATATAGATGAAGCCAAAGTTGCTTGTCATCAAATTGGTTTTACCAAAATGGTAGGATATTGGTACTATGGACAAGGGACGGGTAAAGTATGGCTGTACAACCTGCAATGTACGGGCCAAGAGTCCTCACTTGGAAGCTGTTCACACGATGGATGGGGAAGTGTTGCTTCTGGCTGCAATGGCCACACATATGATGTTGGTGTTGTGTGTTCCGGATWTCAAGGTAATTATAAATTTAATCAATAATTCAAAAATAATAATGATAAGAATAAAGGATAAGAATAAATAAGAGTAAAGAAAGAAGAAGGAAAGTAAGAGTAGTTGAAATACGATTCTTAAAAAAAGGCAGTAATATCGATTGAATGAAACAAATATCTAATCACATGGGTGTTCTTCCAGCTCGTGTACGTCTACAGGATGGTTTAAATGMTAACGAAGGTCGTATTGAAGTCCAGTATACCTACAACGGCACCTGGGGCACCATTTGTGATAGTGGCTGTGGTATCGATGAAGCCAACGTTGTGTGTAGAATGCGTTAATGAAGGTATGCAATGTTTACAGCGAGATTTTAGTATTTATTGCCGATACGTTTAAAACAAACAAAAAACAAAACATATATAGCAAAGAGCAAGGCAAAAGTCTAATATATATGTTTAGGCACTGCCTAAAAGCAGAGCTCCCGATACGGAAGTGACAGGGAGAACAATTTGAATGAAAATAAAAGGTAAAAATAAGATCGGGGAAAAAGTCTTCAATTATTTATTATTCGAGATGAAGATAATTTCTCCCATTATAAAAACCATGCAGTGAAATCGAATCGAAATGCACTACATTGTTGGTTTTTTTTTTGTTTTTTTTTGTTTTTGTTTTTTGTTTTGTTTTGTTTTGTTTTGTTTTTGCGCGAGTATACTCTCCCACTTATGAATTTTGTACACAACTCACCACCACCCCCAGGGGCTAGTTTTGTTCTTGGAAGATTCTTCGACAAAGTTTTCCAAGGCCGAGAGTTTTAGGCTTTGAATCTCTTTTACTTAAAGAAAACGAAAGATATGGAGGGGGATTAAGGAAATAAATGCAATTTGATCGTAGCTCAATGCAATTTGATCATAACTCAATGTAATTTGATCGTGATTCCGAATGCAATTTGAACGTAMCTCAATGCAATTTGATAAAATGTCGCCCAGTTAATTTGTGTCTTACGTTCCTTTTGACCGTATTTTGAATTGCATCAAAGCGTACCT